TCTCCTGAGACCAGGGCTTTTGAAATCATTCAACCCTTGAAATGATTCAATGAAACTTGTGCTGTTAGTGACTGAACCCTGCCACCAACGGTTTCAGAGTTCAAAGTTCAAAAAACAGAGAGGCTCCAAGAATTCTCCACCCTAAGAGCATGAGCCCTTGCCTTTCCCCACTCTCCCATCTTCTATACCACCCTCTTCTCCTCCCCTAATACCACAGCCAGTGCTTGGATGGACAAGCTGATACATCTGTAACTTCATAATTGGAAAAGAAAGGGTCTTCCTATCACATTTCAAGAATTAGCACCTCTAAGACAGAATGACCTGCCCATGTATGCTCTCCAATAGANTGTGGGCACTTGACATTGGCTTCCTTGGCAGGGACCAGGTCAGCCTCATCAGAGTTTTTCCTGCAGAACAAAACACAGAAAGACTTTGAGACCAGGTGCCGGTGGTCTCCTAACTTGGATCACCCAGGGGATAGGACTTTAAAAATATTAATTCCAGAAAAGTAGGCTAGGGAAAGGTAAAGACATTGCCCAAGCAGCATTATTGGCGGCCTTTAGTCAATTGACATCCTCAGGATCCTCTCCTGTTGAAAATCCCCTCTGGGGGGCCGGCCCGTGGCTCACTTGGGAGAGTGTGGTGCTGATAACACCAAGGCCCCGGGTTCGGATCCCATATAGGGATGGCCGGTTCGCTCACTGGCTGAGCGTGGTGCTGACACCACCAAGTCAAGGGTTAAGATCCCCTTACCGGTCATCTTTTAAAAAAAAAAAAAAAAAGAAAATCCCCTCTGGGTATCTTTGTCAAAAGGTAGGCCACCTGACTCAACCTATCATATCTGAACCTCTGGGAAAGGCCAACAAAAAGCATGATTCTCTAGATTCTCTGAGGAAAGAAGAGACTATCACACTCTTCCAAAAACCATATCCCAGCTGATAAGAGCCCATGGAGAGAACCTTGCACTAGCCGGAGCCAATGCAAGTGGATGTTTTCTTGCTTACTGATATTACACTGTTTGACATTATCCTCCTCATACAACCTCCAGGTGCTTTGAAATAGGGCTTTGAGGGCCAGCCTGTGGCTCACTCGGGAGAGTGCGGTGCTGATAACACCAAGGCCACGGGTTCGGATCCCATATAGGGATGGCCAGTTTGCTCACTGGGTGAGCGTGGTGCTGACAACACCAAGTCAACGGTTAAGATCCCCTTACCGGTCATCTTTAAAAAAAAAAAAAAAAGAAAAAGAAATAGGGCTTTGAAATAGTGCTTCAACATTGGAAGATAGAAAATGAGGGGGCTGTTACATAATTCCCTACATTTTTTCTGAATTTCAAAATATTGTCAAAATTTGAAAAACCACTCACATTATAAGGGAATTAGGGGGCTGACCCCGTGGCGCACTCAGGAGAGTGCAGCGCTGGGAGCGCAGCGACGCTCCAGCCGCGGGTTTGGATCCTGTATAGGAATGGCTGGTGTGCTCACTGGCTGAGCGCGGTGCAGGAGACACCAAGCCAAGGGTTCCGATCCCCTTACTGGTCACGTAAAAGACAAAAAAAAAAAAAAGGGAATTAGGAGTAAACTTTTATCTTCAAGTAACAAGGAGTGTCCTAGATAGAAGCAGTAGCATAGGGCAGGCAGCAAGATACATGATGTGATGAATCTCTGACAAGGCACCACCAAAGACCTTCAGAATTCCAACAACAGGAAACCAAGGGTAAACAGCCCCACAGAACCAAAGAACATTAAGCTAAGAAGGTAGGTTTTTGAGCAATGGACCCAAGAGAATGGGAGGGAAATGGACTATAAGAGTATGGGGAATCTGAAGCATGCTGCCCTTTGTTGACAACTGAACATCCTTTGAGGTAAATTCAGTTGTTTCACTGAACAGAAATATCTGCTATTTTTGGAAATGGACAAGTATCTCCACTCTCCAGGAAATTCATGTTTAAAATTAACTTGGTTTTATAATGACCATCCAATCTTAACCTGTAGATACAGTAGTGAGTCTACCAAAGGAGTAAAATCTTAAGTAATATGGAGATACTACTCATACTGGTCACTTGCAGAGAAACTATTCTAGATGGGGTGAAAAACACATCAATTATTTTCCTCCATATGCAGTACCTCAAAAAAGAACATTTCTCCTACAGGCTAGCAATAAATCAGTTAAAAGAGGGTCAGATTCAGTAAACATCTAGGGAATACAGGGGAAGAAAATAAGGGGATAGCTAGTTGTGAGATAGGCATTCAATAGTGCTAAAGTTAGGTCTCTCCAATCATCTTTTAAAGGAGAAGATTTAGGGCTGGCCCGGTGGCACACTGCTATAGTGCGCCGCTTGGGAAGCGCAGCGGCGCTCCCACCGAGGGTTCGGATCCCACATACAGACCGGTTCCCGCTCACTGGCTGAGCGAGGCGCAGGAGCAACACCGAGGGCTGCGATCCCGTTGCCGGTCCCGGTCCGGTACGGGCGCGACACTGAGGGTTGCGATCCGTTGCCGGACACGGAAAAAGACAAAAAAAAAAAAAAAAAAAAAAAAAGGGAAAGATTTTTTGGGGATATGGGTTTCAGAGAGGGTTCGAGAGAGAAAAAAAAAAAAACCCCCCA